AACTTTAACCCAGTTCGCTCTGTTAAATGCTACCCCGACTGAAACAGGACCCATGCATGACGCGTACTATAACAATAAGCTATTGTTGACATGCAAACGCTCTAACGAATTAACCGAATTAAACGCTACCGGGTATTTGCGCGGATATATTTCAGTGTAACGTTTGTCGTGTGAACAGAGGTTTTGGTATCCATGAATAGTACCATTTCCCTTTCCGTTCATCCGCATTCGAGCATTCTAATCCCTATGTAATATTTTTCGAGTTCGGTTTGAGGAAAACATGTTATATACACGATAACCAAACCCGGGCGCTCGCAAAAATCAACCAGCGCGATGACATCACGACGTAACCATGGTAATACGACAACAGAGGTGGCGGCAGCAGCATTAGGGCAGGTTAAGCCTAGCGCAGACCTGCGACTTTTTCATGCAACTCGACAGCGATTCTAGAATCGCTGTAAAAATTGCTGTGAAATCGCTACGTCTGCGGGAATGTGCAACTGCAACCCGTAGCGATTCTGGTCGCTTGCGACGAGTTGCAAGAAATCAAACTGCTTTCATTTTGAGCGACTCGTCGCTCCCAATCGCTCCAAGATTGCTCTAGAATTGCTTCGAAATCGCATGTGTGCGCACACGCGGTGACACATCGTCCGATCGCTTGCGGTTGCAGGTTGCAGCGACGAGCAACCCAAAAATCGCAGGTCTGCGCTAGGCTTTAGTAATTGACATTTAGTATATGGTAGCGTGTATTATCAGCGCAGATTTGCACCTTTCTATTCGACAGCTCTCGCCGCATATATATATATATATATATATACCCGCGTGTCCCCGCACGACTGACTTGCCTCGCAGACATGGGAATTACTGCGGATTTAATTAGCACGTGCATTTATGAAGCGGAAACCCGCCAGTAATTGCCGCACGCGCTCGCACCGCATCAAAGCTCGGCTCGATGAGCACGTTGAACAAGCAGATCACGACAATGCTGATGTAGATGGTTGAGGGACGGCTTTGGCGCGCTCGTCTGGGGACTAGATTACCTGACAGAATCGGCGGCGTGTCGTTAGTGAACGTATACTCTCGATTGATCGTTCGTCCTAGCTGGACCAGCCAGCTATACTCGATGTTGATGGCAGCGTCGGTGACTCCTATGTAGTACCAGATGCACGCCAGCCAGTGACCGACGAGTCCAAACACGCACACTAGCAGGATCAGCATGGCAGCGCCGTATTCCATGTAGTGGTCGAGTTTACGAGCGACTCTTCCGAGTCGAAGAAGGCGAACAACCTTTAGGGTACTGAAGAGGCGCCCAATGTCCTTTTGAAAATACGAAAGTAAAATTATCGCTACAACATTTGCGTGTAGTTTACGGCTAACCATTTGCAACCGCCATTATCGAGAAATATCGTATAGCGCATATATATATAACGGTTGATGTTTTTTATTGTTGTGAGCTCGGCAATTTCTAAGCTTGAACTATGTTAGGTAATTAGTTCAAGCTAGGACAAGTAACACAGTTCAAGCTTGGAAGTTGCCAAGCTTACAACAAAAAAAGCATCCAACGTTTCCCATGCATGCATAGAGAGCGCCACATGAAGTAAGTTGCTATTGGTAGCCAGCGGCGCAGTGGCGAAGTAATCATGGCTTTCTAAAGCATCCGCAGCGGGCTAGCAGTCGCTCAGTCACGACTTTATTAATGTTTTTGTCTCTAAACGTGTACTCGTCACGTTCTAGCTGTAATATATATATATATATATATATATATATATATATATATATATATATATAATTATTAATTAATTATTTATTTATTTATTTTAAGTCTTTTTAAGTCATTATACGTATTAGTAATTTAATCATTTAGCCATGTATGTAGTTATTTTCACCAGTCTTTCGACATTATCGCCATACATTCGATTTTTCATCAATCCGCACGAAGGATACCCTGCCATGATGTGTGTATGCAACACACCGATGTGTTTCTGTTGCAGATGTGACTGGGGCACGTTGATGACCACTGTCGATAATACTAGACGACTGGTTTCGTATTTCGACGGTGATTGCATGGGAAGGCGTATTACCGTTACGTGCCGTCACACCGGCTTGGGAAATAATATGTAACACCCGAGCGCCTGAAGTAATGGGTCATGTCTTATTACACATGACACTCTTTATTTCGGGCAAATTCTAAATACAGGAGCACTTCGTGTGTTGAATAGTGTCAAGTAGTGTTATCTGTGGTATGGACGTATTCAACACACATGCACGCACGCACGTGCATGCACGAACGCACGCACACACACACGCACGCACACATACTGTGCACACACGCGCACACAAGAACACGCACACGCACGTAGAGAGAGAGAGAGAGAGACCTGGCCTGCCTGCCGTATTACCTACCTACCTACCAACCTACCTACCTACCTATCTACATACATACCTACCTATCTGTCTACCTCCCTACCTACCTACCTACCTACCTACCTACCTACCTACC